GTTAATTCACCTTCCAGAACAGTGTCCGAAAGCTGACGGGCAGGCCTAGGATTTTGCAACAGACTCTGCTTGGCGTTTCCAGCATGCAAGCCGAAGATTAACGCGACTGACATCGTGAGGTCTACCCTCTCCGGAACATCGTCTAGCGGAGGTAGCTCCTGCGCGATTTTCGAGCACATCCTTCGCGAGCGCCGAGGCTGCTGTTCTAACCAACAGCGAGTCTGTATCACAACACATGGTGTCGACGAATGATTCGTATGCCGTTGGATAGCACCAGAAGGGTGTTGCGCTTTGATGTATGAAGATGCGGATGAACCCGTACAAAGCTAGTGACCTGCGAGTAGCTGAGGTTGTCGGCGACGTCCTATGCCAAAGTCTCAAAGCGAGCTGGAACCTCGTTGTAGATCAGACGATAGATTTGAAGTGCAAACCGGACAGAGGGGACCTCGCATGGCATCCCTTGGACCAGTGTGCGACTTGCGGGTCAACTCAATTATAGTCCGGCTCGGTGGTATCATGCGTAAGCTGAGAGCCATTTACCAACAGAGGCGGACTCTTGGCCCGCCAGGCGCTATGAGGAAGTACCTCCATGACGGACTCACCATCTGCGTAGTTGATCCCGAGGGGCTATGTTTGCCATCAGACTATGCAAGTCCGGTCTCTTGGGATGTGTATATCAGATAACGCAGCGACATCCAGCGCTGCGCGGCGATGTACATCATATCGCCGCTGGTGTAGGATCCTACCAATGCCTCCGTGGTGATCAGGGCGCCGCGGGTGGTTTCGGAGACCAAATTGATACCGCTGCAGTGGCCATCGTCAACGTCTTACCAATAGGCACAGGCGGATCGGTGACTTCATTCCTTAGGATCGAGGGTTCTCAGAGAGAATGTGAACGCGTCGCCATGTCCAATACATTGCGTCGGAAGCGTGACGCGTCGAAAGTCGAAATCCCTTGTCCCTTCTCTTTCAATCAAATCGCGCTAGTCCGAACGGGTAAGCTCCTCTTCCCTACAAGAGAAGAACCGAACGACACCAGTTGCCGCAACGACATTCAAATTATGGCGAAAGATGATATCGCTGAAAAACGACTTACGAAATAAAGGGAAAGAGAATGCGCCAGGAAGTTGCGAGATGCAGTCGACTTAAGCTTGTGGATCACCCTCCACCCAGGTTTGGAGTGTGCCCATCACTCCACAGACCAAGCCGCCTGTGTGCCGACTTATCCGGCTTCGCCCTGCACCTACGGCATCTTTGAGACGAAGCGAGGGAGGATTCAGGTACCCGTCTTGTGGGCATCTGCAATGGGTGGTAAGCTTTGCTTTTAAGTTTTTGAGTGGGTTTGAATGTGAAGTGGCGATGGAGGTGATTGAAGGTGAGAGTCGGGTTGCATCATAGGGCGATATACCGCGAGTGCACATTCAAAGTATACATTAGAGGAAGCCTACCCATCTGATCACACATAAAACTGTAACAGAATATTGGTACACAATCCAATATTCTGTTACAGTTTTATGTGTGATCAGATGGGTAGGCGGGATACTCATCAAATTTGGAGAACTATTTCAGTGATACCTAAGGCAGCTTACATTCAGAGATAAAAATGCTAAACATTAGAGGAAGCTGCCGACGACGCTTGCTTGGAAAAACAAATACTATTATTACATGTAAAAGGCGAGTTCGCCCGTTTTGTCCACTCCATTAACGCCAGATCATAGCAATCCGAACCACGTTTTCCTAATATCCCACACCCACTTCGCCGGGGAAGCTAGCCCAGAATTCCTGTGTCGCATTGATCATCATAGCCTCTAACTCTTCATTCGTCAAGGCGAATGATTCGAACGAGTCAAGGTTGAAGGTCTCGTCGGCTTCCAACGGGGGCACCGCTGGAGGCGTGTTCCACGAGAAGTTTGATGAGTAGCTGTTGGGTGTGGGCGCTGCGGCAGGCATGGGGCTTGTAGCGGGCAAGGGGCTTCTAACGGGTGGGTTGGTAAGGTTGGCGATCATGGGTTTGCGCTGGTCGTTGTGCTGTTGTGAAGGGGACCTGCTGGAAGCGATGTCTCGAGCATCAGCTGGCTTTTGTACAGGCGAGGGCTGCAACGCGCCGTAGTCGATCATGGCATGTCGCAAGGCTCGTCGTTCTTCGGGTGATGCCGGGCCGTCCTGGCCAAGTATCGAGCGGTAGTACGCTTGCATGCGCCTGATGGTATCATACTGGGGCTGTCAGCGTGCGTTTTCTAGATCTCTTGAGTTACTCACCCAGGTCTCTGCCATGGGCCATTGTGTCTTCATCTCCTTCAGGAAGTTGCAACCCTGGATGACGCTCTTGCGCGCCTTCTCCCGCCAGCGAGGATCGTCATCACCACTCGGGAAGTTGAAGCTATACAACATTGCGCCGACTGCAGTGTAGATGGTGAAGCCGATCCACGGCACTAAGCCTCTCAGGAAGTAGACGCCAAAAGTGCGCATCTCCTCGAGCATGTCTAGGACCATGACGGAGTCTTTGAACAGCTCCTTGCGCGAAGTCTTCTCCCACTTCTTCCACATGTCACGGTGTTCGTCGTAGGAGTTGGGCGTCTCTTCGGGGTTCGCCCCGTTCTGTTGCGGTCCCAGGACGGGCAGGTAGGCGCGATGCAGGAACATGTAGCTCATGAAATGTATGCAATGCATGTAGCAATACGCTTGGCCTTGCTCGACCGCATTGTGGCTGTGGAGGGTGAAGAGGTCGTACTGCAGGCGCTGCGGGAGCGAGGCCTTCCAGCCTTCGAGTTCGTATATGAGCTGCTGGAACTGCGACGAGGAGGCCCATGGCAGTTCGCTCTTGAGGTCTTCAGAGCACGCCCAGCGCGCGACCTTGCCCCAGATGTTGGCAGCGCGCATACTATAGCCGATGATGCCAATCTCTCCTACTGGCAGGGCTACTGGCGGCATGCGCTGTGTGTTGTCTAGCTGCGGTGTGCACACAGGCTCCCCGAAGACGAAGTCCTCGCGCTCGCAGGGCAGCTGAATCTTCATATCGGCGTGTGTCAACGATCGCTTGCGCCCCTTGCCGCCACTGAGCAGCGAGTCCATGAGGAAGCAGGTCCAGGCAGTCCGTCGGCGCACTTCAGCCTCGATGAACTCCTCGCGCGTCGGCACGCGGTTTCGCGGTATGCCCGTCTCGCGCGTCAGGTCCATGACTTCGACGAGGCGTATGGCCATGCCCAGGTATATCCACGCCCGCCTTCCATTGCCGGCGCCCCAGTCATGGCCCGTCAACATCAACAGGGCTTGGACGCGGCTTATCGAGGGCGTCTCGAGGTCCTGCTGCAGGATCTGGCGGGCGTGGGCGGCATAGGCGTTGCTGGCCTCAGTCTGCGACCGGAAGGGCGAGGGCGGCTCCTTGACGAATCTACGTCATGTTAGATGTGCGACTGCCTGCGCTGTGGGTGCTCGCATACCTGATGGCCAGTGCCAGGATCGCCCAGGCCATCCATGGCTCGAGGGTGCGGTCGCGGATCCGGCGCAGCAGCGTCGGCGTGTGGTGGAAGCTCCACTTGTAGCTGCATCTGAGGTAGCTGTTCTTGACCTCGTCCGTCAGCAGCTCAAAGGGATCGAGGCCGTCGAGCAGCGCGGATGCCGCATTCGGCGACGCGTGCTGTGCCGCCTGGGTGCCGGTCGGCAGATGTGCGTCATGGCGGCCCTGACGGGGCGCTACAACCGTCGTACTCGAGTTGGCTGGTGTCGGCGTGTCTCCAGCGTCTCCTGCGTCTTCAGAGGGCCGTGGTCGCTTGGGCTTGCGGTGTATCGCGCTGGTTCCTGGCGCTATCGTCTGTCAACACGCGCACTATAGGGGACGGCAGGAGCTTCGACGCACCTGGGAACTCGCACCGATCGGCGCGCCCGCACTGCTTGCACCTGTCGCACGGCGGCCGGTCTTCGTGGATGCACTTCTGTTTGGCGGACCTGCAGGACACACACGCCACGGGATTGCGCATGGTCGCGATGCCTTCCAATGTTGGAGAGGCCAAACATCGACGGGTGAGGGACGACCCTGCCTCGGTCGCTCTTCCCCGTCGCGATCTGCTCTCCGCATCCCGTGCCTGCCCAACATTTGCGCTAGGGCGGCCATCGCCGAGCCCGCAGATACATGAACCTTGTTCGTATTTCTTTTTGTTTTTATCACGAATGATCTATTTCACAATGTCTGTTTTCTCGTCGCTACCTCTGTGCACCCTGGCTTCAAGTATGTCTTGCCTTGGTGAAGCAAACATTCGGCATGAAATATCCCCAGGAAGGAACGATCCTCGGCATACACCCAGGAAGTAGTCGCGACAACATCGTCACAGCCACCACCTGGGCATGCGATACAGTGCTCATAGATCTGGCCTGTTGCCTATGAGGAAACCTCAGCAAGCTATCCCCTTTGCGGTTTGCTATCAAGACAGTCGTCATATCTTGTTTCCCTCCAGCGTCTCCCATTCCAAAGTCAATTCCTCTACTCCCATTTTATCGAGTACATTTTATAACTCAGGTCATCTTCGTAGCTGCTGTCCCTATGTCTCAGCACTGTAGACTAGACCTTGGCCCCGTCTTCACTAGATTCTCATTCTTCACCTATGCTGACTCCAGCTGAAGAGCTACCGTATACGCAGAGCAGGAGATTATGAACCATCGTGACGCCTCTCATTCACCAGTCAGTCTCTGTCGCCCTTGTGCTGGTCTTTCAGCCACGTCTTTGTTCAACACGCATTCACTTTGCACGGACCCAACCACCACGTGTAGCTATCGTTCTTCCCTTCACTACCACAATCTATTCGTAATACTCACTCGATTCCTGATTTGGGCTTAGTGGCGTGTACAATAGCCCGTACTCAACCCCTGCTTGACTACACGAACTTGATCCGACATCCACTTAACAAATTTCGCTTTCCAAGTCCTACTTTTATTTCGACAACACGCCTACTGGCGACAGGATAACGACAGCGACTCCATCGAGATATTGCTAACCCCCAAACGCAATGGCTCACTCCTCGGCCGCCAACGGCCCTGGCTACCAAACATACGCAGTTCCTCTGGCAGACGGAAAGAGGAAGCGGGCTACTGCGGACAGCCAGTCAGAACCGGTGAGCCACTTATCTTCAGATACTTTCCTTCTGAACTGATGCAGATGTCTAGGCTGAACCCAATGCGACTCCCAGCACAGCGCATCTAAAGAGGAGTCGCCCCAACGAAAATGAGTACAACGCCAAGTACATGGCTGAGATGTGCTTCAGCGCGTACAAGGCGCGCTTACACACCGCCGGCTACTCGCAGTATACTTCCGACGTTGCGAACGACTGGCGAGAGGATCTTGTCGAGTTGTTCAGCCACGCGGCGTTGAAAGGAACCATGAAGCAGAATGCCGCGGCTCGTCATGTCATCCCTCGTCTGACAACTCTCATCCCTCAAAAGAACCAAAAGAAGGGCGCGCTTGTGAAGGACTTTGCGAAGCACTACGAGACTGTGCGAAATGACATGATAGTCATCGACAGAGTCATGGGAAATGGCTTCAAGGTCAACGAACAATCCATCGTCGAAGTACGCGAGTGTCTCAACGGCCTACACTATATTCTCGCCAAAGGAGAGCAATGGCGCAACGTCATGCCTTACACACCGCTGCCAATGTACCGGCTTCGAGCCCTCCGCGACCTGATAAAGTACTCACGACCGCACCACCTCCTCGGCGATCTGGTCACCAACATTGAAGAAATGGAAGGTTGGCTCAGCCCGCCACCTGCGAGCTTTAGCTTCCCAACTGGGCCGATCGACGAGACGATAGAGGCGTTGCAGAAAGCAACCGAGGACAAGATTGCGAGGACCAGCATTGGCCCCGACGCACAGCAGATGGCAGAATACCGAGCGCAAAAGGCGGAAGCCCTACGTCTGCAGAAAGAGGAACAGGCCCGTCAACAAGAGAAGGAACGACTTGGCGAAGTCCAGCGAGTTCAAGCAGAGCGAGATCAGCTGAAGCAACAGATCAAGTCGCTCGAGATGACCGCCGCAAAGGAACGCGCTCAAGAGAGTGTGAAGAAGGTCGGGGAAGCTGCAGCAACAGCTCAACGCGAGAAATCGTACCAAGATCAGATCGCGCAACAAACAACTGAGATCAACAAGCTCAAAACCGACATAGTCAACCTGTCTGCTAAGCCGGCAGCGCAAAATAAGCCCGAAGCCACTACGACATCGTCACTTCCAGTCACTGCAGGACAGACTGGCACTCCAATGAACTCTTCTTTCAGTAGCAATCAGACTGCCAACAGTAGCTTCTACCAGCCAAAGAGCTCTCTAGGCACTTCCTTCGGAAGCTCTATAAATGGTGGGTCGTATGGGCAGCTCGGTTCATTCGGCCAAGTTTCACATCATCCTACGCCGAAAGACGACGACGTTCAAATGACGGACGCTCTACGGGTTGATAGCTCGCAGCAACACCCTGGCTTTGGTCCGTTCGATCCTTCCACGATAATTACACGCGGTGTGGGCCAGTCAAACCCCTTCAATGCTCGCATCACCAACGGCGCTCCCTCACAACCCTTCGGAATGTCAGCCGGCGACAGCAACTTCAAGTCGGCTTGCCCAGCATACAAGAAAGGGACCTGTACATTAGGCAGGAGTTGCAAGCTACCCCACACCGCATGCAAGTTCTGGTTGAGCGGTAGTTGCAGATTCGGTGGGAGATGTAAACACAGCCACGATCCTTTCTTCCTGACAGAAGCCGCATCAAAAGGCCAGTCAAAACAATTTCCACGGGCTGACCAAATGGTCATTGATCCTGTCGTTGCACCAGGATCCAGTAACTTCTCCCAAGCGAACCCCTTTTCCAGTCATCTACCGGGTGGTTCAGATCCTTTCGGTGGGCAGATGAAGGGGAATGGGCGTTCTACCTTGCAACCTAAGCAGCAAGACCAGACTTTTGGCTTTCACACTAGCAACAGCAAGAACCCGTTCAGCCCCGCCCCACCACCAGCGCCAGCAGTGCGCAAACCGACACTTGCTGAACGAGTAACAAGGGGTGACCAACCCACCTCTTTTGATAACCAAACGCCATTTGGCTACCATCTCCCACCATCTGGCCCTCGAGGAAACCGTTCACTCGCCGACAGGATAACAAAGAACGATCAACCCATGCCACATCAACCTCAACATCAGCCTTCTACCATTCGCATCGAACAATCCCTAGAGGACATCATCAATGCATCTGGATCGCGCAGGAACGAAAAACAGGCAAAGCCGCTCCAGTCAGAGACTCTCTGTAGGTGGCAAAAGACCTCGCCAGCCGGATGCACGAATACTACTTGTGGCTATAAACACGATCCGCCGAAGACAATGAGTACCAAGGCTGGGAGGGTGGGCGGTGCGCGGGGTTTGAGGAATCCGTTTAGTCAGATTGGTGATATACTTAGGGGAAATCGGTAGGCGGGAGGCTACGTTGGAGAGTTTGACGTTTGGAAGTCGTCATGAAGTATAGGTAATGGGAAGACAACGAGTTTATCTTGATGTGTCTGGGTCTCATCGACTGCTGCGTATTCTTTATGCTAAGTCGTCATATACTCTACTCTAGGCTCCTACTCGGATGTAGGTTCTTCCCCCGTCTATGCCGACCGCACCAGTGCTCCGAGATACGACTCTATTCACCAATGGTGTTTCGACTTCAACCTGAAACACGCCTCACAGCTTCTATACTAGGATTTTTGCCTCTCGAACAGCCTCCGCTACGTCAAGTGCGGTCTCCGACACTGTTCTGGAGCCGCTGGACAAAGCGCCACTAGATACGAGTTTTCGGACTTGATCACGGACAAAGCCGGGACTCACCCCGTGACCTTTGTAGCCACCAACTCTTTGTTGTAGCACTTCTAGCTATCAACCAGCGTCGAGGCACATCCTATGATCGTGACATTGTGTCAGAACCCTGAAGACTGCGCCTGCATCCCAATACCTTCCATCAACCAAAGAGCCCAACATACGATAAACAATATGGGAATGACAAACATGTCGAACACATCAAATCCCACCAGTGCAGGATGCCATATAGACATCATAAACCACATCCAAGCCATCCAACAAAACTGGTTCATCCACCCCTCGACCTCAGAAGAACCCATTCTCCCAGCCTCACTCCTCGCCGGCGTGCCCATCAACTGCCTTCCGGCCCCAATTATCCAAGCCATCCACGAACTCTCCACCCTAACAATCGGCCAACGAGACCGAGCGCACAACTTACTAAACACCTACTTCCAAGCGCGTATCCGCGAAGGCTCATACAGTGGCAAGTCCCAAAAGATCTTCGCCATCTTGGAAATCAGCGATGTGAAAAAAGCATGTGAAAGTCTACGAAGGATGAGCCGAGGACGCGAAATGCAAGGGCCCGTTCCAATCAAAGAAGATGAAACGAGGAAGAGGAAGTACTCGATTAGACAGGAGATTGCAGACGAAGAAGACGAAGACGCACAAAGACTAGCGAAACGACTGAAAGAAGAACTATGCGTAATCTCCGAAGACGACAACACCACTACCAACAATAACGAGGAGCCAAGCACGCCAATCTGCATCAACTTCGACGATATACCCACGCCACCAGATTCACAAGCAACGATAACAGCAACACTTCCTTCCACGACCACCACACCCCAGACGCAGCGCCGCTCTCGGCCCCCTCCCATTGTCATTGCCGAGATACCCACGCCTACAGCTACATCGCCTGGTATTGTCCCACCGTTCTCTTCTTTCACGCCCTTGTTTAATAGCCTGGCTCGGGAGTTTGGCGGAGATCCGGATACGCCGTGTCCGGTACGACAGAACACTTACGAACCCCCACAATCAGATCTCCTTAACATTGCGGATGACGGTTACGGTCACGACAAACTCACCAGCAACGATAATAATGCAAACGGCACTCTCTTCGAGTCATACATGCGCGATACATATCCAGCGCCGAGGATAGATCCTCGTGTCCAGGCAGGGCAGAGAGCAACGCATGAGTTTAACGTGAGGAGGATGGAGGTGATTGAGGCGCAGAGAGTGTTTGAGGAGGCGAGGAGGAGGTTTGGAGAGGCGAAGCGGAGGATGGAAAGCGTGAGAGGAGGGGCGGTGTGGCGGTGATAGTAAGAGTGAGATTGGAGATAGGAAGGTTGGAGATTGTTGCTCGGATGGAGATACGTTCGTGGGGGTTTTAGAGTAGATATACACTAGGTACGCTGCATTTAGCATCAATCAATTGAAGTCTTAAACAGAATGTTTGGCGCTTACTTGTACCAGTCAGAACGCCGAACCCAAAGTCTCAATGAACAGAATTTCTTAATTCCACCATTATTACAAACAGGATGACTGCCCTGCCCGCAACCCCCATCACACCTCACCACTTCTCCTCCTAATATCCCCCAACTCAACATCATCCTCATCCATCTCAACCGCACAACCGTCATCCTCCCCGTTCGCCTTGTTCACCTCATCATCACTACTATCCACAATAACAGGTGTAGCAACCCCCGAGTCCACAGCCCCCGGCGTCGTACACGCACTGCCCCCCGTCTTCTTCGCTTTGAGTCCATACACAGTATTAAGTTCCTTCCGCATCTTGTACTCCTTCTCACCCCAGGTGAGACAAAACCCGATTCCCGCTAGAACCGCGAAAACAATCCACACGCATTTCAGACTCTGGGTAAAGGCATTGATTATCTCGGCTTTGATGGTAGGGGAAGTGGCTTGCGTGGCGATGAAAGAAGCCGTAGCGCGTTGGTATGCCTGACCATTTTCCAGTTTCGCGCGAGCAGTTGCAGAGGAGATGGTGGGGAGTAGGGAAGCGAAACGGACGTTGAAGATGGCACCGGGGATGGCGACACCGAAGAGGGAGCCCGTGCCGCGGAGGAAGGCCCAAGAGCCTGCGCTTGCGCCCGTTGTCGATTCGGGAAGTTTGACTTGTACGGCGGGAAGCATGGTGCTGATGACTATCCCGAGACCAGCTGCGGTGATGAGCTGGAGGGAGAGCCACACACCAATGGAGGACTTGGCGTTGAGCAGTGTGCAGAGGCCTAGGCCGAGGGTTGTCAAAGCGAAGCCGATGATGTGCATGGGTTTGTATTTGCCCCAGTAGCTGAGTAAGGGCCCGCCAACTGCGGCGAGGACGACGATAACGAGGGTCGTGGGCATCACTTCTAGACCTGACTGTGTGGGCGAGGAGCCCTTGACTGCTTGAAAGAAAGGCGGGAGGTAGAATTGGAAACCGTAAGTTATGAAGCCGTGCATGGTTGTCAATGCGAAAGCGATGTTTGTCGTGCGGTTCGAGAAGACGTGCGGTGGCATGATGGGGTATTTGCAGTAAGAGCAGCGTTCCCAAAAACCGAAGCCGATGAGACCCAGGATACCGAAGACCATGGGTATGACGACAGAGAAGTGAGACCAGGGCTTCGGTGCGCCGCCTGTGCTGAGGGAGACAAGAAGCATCAGAACTGAACCAGTGAGCATGCCGCTTCCTACGTAATCCACTTTCTTCAGCTCTTGTTGAAGCGTTGTTTCTGGTGTAGTGTTACTTCCACCGACATTTAGCCAGCGCCAGATGACGACCAAAGAGATGGCGCAGACGGGTATGTTGATGAGGAAACACCATCGCCAGCCGTGTTCAGCGAAGACTCCTCCGAGGAGTGGACCGAGTGTTGTGCCAGCGGCGAAAGCAACGTGCTTGATCGCCAAATACGGACCTCTCTTTCTCAATGGCACGATATCGCAGAGAATCATCTCGGCGAACAGATCAATTCCACCGGTTCCCAGACCTTGGACAATGCGTCCAGCGATGAGCACTGCGCCGCTCTGAGCGCCACCACAAATAGCCGATCCCACTGCGAAGACGGCAACAGCAGTCATCATAGGAGTTTTCCTTCCCCACATGTCTCCGAACTGAGAGTATAGAGGCTGGAAGATGGTGCTCGCGAGGAGGAACGCGGTCGCAACCCAGGAGAATTTGGTGCCGAGATCCAATGCCTCCGAGATCGTAGGGAGGGCGGTGTTGGTTACACTTCCCTCGAGAGCGGAGAGGAGTAATGGGATGCATATGGCAACGAATGATCGCCAAAAGCCCTCCGATCGCTTCCATTTGGCTGAGGGTGTCTGAGAGGGGAGGGAAGGAGGAAGCGTAGGGCGACTGAGGCGGCGAGAGAGCGTATTGTTGAAGACTTGGGGCTGAGTAAGTGGTGTACTTCCCAAGTCCTGTTCTTCAATGACGAAGTCGACTTTGCGCTCCGTTGCAGGTGGTGTCGTACCCATTGTAGAGTCGGATGAAGACATCTTCGAAGAAGAGTGAACGTTCCTCCGGTGCTCCTGAAAAGGACTGATGAGTGAGAATAGCGATATGTTAAAGGAGACCCTGTTTAGTAAAAATTTCTCTCAACAAAGAAAAATAACTCTTCCACTTTGCGATCGTGGTAGCGAGTCCACGTAGCTTCCAGATATTCACACAGCTCAGCTCACACCGTGGCGCTGACCATGTTATATACCTCTCTTGTCCGTCAACAGGCCCAACATATCCATACTACCCACTAGATAAACGAAGCATCTGTGATAGTACGTTGCATTACGAATGTGTTGTCGTGTTCGCGCATGGTGAGGATGCGGTACCGCGGTAGGAGAACCCTCTTTACATCTCGCCCAAACGGCGAGGGCGAATGAGCTCGTATGCGAGGCGGCGACCCTGACATATCTCGCTGCAGGAACGCGCAACTTAGCGGCGCCTTCTTGTTGACAAAAATCTGTTGTTGTCAACTCCGATCGTTACGGATGCGTAGCCAGAGAAGGCGGGCTCATGCCGCGTGTGATCCACTGGTAACTCATTGGTGATCTCCAGCCACACCCATGATTTGGCCTGAAATGCTTCAAATTACTGTTCCGCGCGGTTCTTGCATATCTGAAGGCTGGAGGCGTGGATTATGCACCTTGGAAGATAGGGCTGCGTCCCGGGGTGACTCGGTGCATAGTCCGCGAGAAATACTGACTGTCTCTGCAGTCCCAGACTCTTCGAACGCCTCGATTCGGTATGGCGTGCTGCTCTCTTGGGAGGCGCTGATGGCGCTCGTGTTCAGCTGACGTATACAGTACATCACCCAGCCTTGAACGCCACAGCGACGCATTCGCGCCGCATGACATCGACTATGCAGGTGCGCGGTTCCAACTCACCTCCAGCACGGATCCACAAGCTCAAACCCTGGCAACTGCATCCTCTTCAGATTCGGACAGCTTCTCAACAGCAAACTCGCAATGCGCGTCGAATCACTCCCATCCCTAACCTAGAACATGAGCGCGCTCCGTCAGTAAACCATCTCACACGCTCTCCATGCAAAGAGACGACTCACCTCCTCAACCCAAACCTCCCAATCGCTCTTCCTAACAAAGCACTCCACATTCCCCCTAATCACCGCATCCAAATCCAGCCCCTCACACTTCGGCCACGGATCTAGATTCCCGCCATACGCATGAACCACGGAAAAAGAACGGACTAGCTGGCGATGGGGTGGAGACGTCCAGAAGAGGAGGGCGAGGGGACGCAGGTACTTGAAGTCGGCGCCGTAGAGCGTGATGTGCGTGTAGAGGTGGGCTGTTGCGAGGCGGTTTAGGTGGCGGGAGACGAGGGTGAGGGTGTGGAGTGTGGTTCTAGAGGGGAGGTGGGAGAGGATTAGATCGAGGAGTTCGTCGGGGAGGGATTCGAGGGTTGACAGTTGCATGGTGTGTGAGCGAGAGGGGGTTTGGGGTTGGAGTTGGGTTGTGGTTTGGGTGCACATTTGGAGGTAATAGTGATGACGACTTCGATAATAACGATGTTGTTAGATAGGCAAGAAGAGGTTGCTGTTATGGAACTGCGCAATAATTACAAAGGAATACCTAGGGACGTAGACAGGTAAAACCAAAAACATGCAGAGTAAGAACGCACGCGATATACATGACGATGAGCACTGGCGTGGAGCTATGGATATATCCCATGTCATTTGGCATAAGCCAAGACAAGGGTCCATTCAGGTACAATGCACACGGCAGTTGCGATGTCGCGATCGTCTTCGGATATATCAGTCCTCTTTACCCCGCCCCCACCACTGCTACGTACTTCGGCAATTGCGAAGTTCAGGGCATGGTGACAGACTAGAAAATGATAGTAAAAGAAGTTATGTTGTTCATAAAATCTATGTCATGCGTAGCGTATCTCACACTACAACCATGTCTACGCATCTAACCTGTTATCGGCTATAACATCTACTTGAACTCCTTCATAAACTCCTCGTGGAACTTGACAATACGCCCTGTCCAGTCGGTTCCAGGAGCAAGGAAAGTGGTCCTGAAATGCAGCGTGCCTTCCTTCTGTCCGAAGCCTGTGCCAGCAACAACGCAAACACCTGTGGCGTCGAGCATGCGGAAGCAGTAGAACTCGTCGGGCGCGCGACCTTCCTTCTTGGCTTGTTGTACGGCCTTTTCTGGGAGGTGGATGGTGGGGAAAAGGTACATGGAGCCCTAATGTTTGGGTTAGCTATGCGATGTGTAGTTGGCGTGGAATACGTACCTGTGGCTCGTTGCACTCGACACCCTCCATCTGCTTGAACGCCTCGTACAAAGCGTACGCGCGCTTCTTCAATCCGTGGAAGATGCCGTCGTACTCCTCCTTGTAGAGCTCGTAGCTTGGCTCGCCCTCCTTTGGTGGGTTGACCATCATCTCCACGATACACTGGCCCAGGACTGGCGGGCACAATTGGATAGAGATGAACTTGTAGACCTCCTGCGCGACCTCCGGGTCAAAGCCGATAAGCTCAAAGTAGCCACCTCGGTGACCACACTCTCCGACCATGCCCTTGGAAATTGAGTGCAGAGAAGCCAGCTCGAGGTGGTCGTACTGGCCGGGTGACTCCTTTTGCAGGTCGCGTAGAGCCTTCTTGAAGGAGATGAACTCGCCAATGAAGACGTTGGTCTGGTAGACCTCGTCGGCGATGACGACGAGACCCTTCTCGGCGGCGAACTTGAGTACAGCCTTGATGTCTTCGGCGGGCAGCGACGCGCCAGTGGGGTTACCCGGGTTGATGACGCAGATAGCCTTGACATCTGTGCCCTCCTTAACAGCCCTCTCGTATGCAGTCGCAATTGAGTCGAGTGATGTGCCCCATGCTTGGTCTTCGTTGAGGTAGTATGGCACGCAGCGGGCGTCGAGGACGGAAAGGGTCGCGGTGTAGAGAGGGTACTGAGGGATTGGGACCATGATACCGGTCTCGGGCTTCGCGCAGATGGTGTGGAGGAGGGTGTTCACGCCTGACGAGGCGCCGTTGCTGAGGTAGATGTCCTCGAACTTTGCTGGGTAGCCATCGCGACCTGTCTCTGTCAGTCCAGTTCTCGTAATTGTATAGTGGGACACTCACGCTCAATGTACTCTGCGACGCTCTGCCTGATGCCTGGCGCACCCTGACTCTGACTGTATGCGCCTACGCTCTTGACCTCCTTCAGCAGCTTCCTTGCGCGGTCAAGCACATCCGACTTGTATCCCAGGCTCTTGAGCAGGACATCCTCGTGCTCCAACAGGCCGGGGTTCTCGAGTATACTCGCGACCTGCCTGAAGAATGTGATTGGCTTTTGGTCTAGTTGTTGAGGGTTTCCGATGTTGGCCGCGATGACAGTGTCAAAGGGAAGGTCCTTGCCCTCGCCCTTTGCCAGCTTGGCGCGGTACTCTTCCGACTTGACGGCTAGTTCACCGCGGACGGCATACTTGGCTGCCTTGACGTGCGGGTTGATGTTGCCAATCTGCAACACCTTCTGCGGTGCCTTGGACATGATGCCTCGACTATGGGGAAGGTGCGACGGGGGGTTGTAGAGTTGGGTCGTTACGCGTCCAGCGAGGAACGGAGATGGGGTTTGAGGGGTGGAGGAGGTGAAGGGTCTATACAGGACTAAGGTGGTGAGCACACGTCCAGACTATAACTTAGCTCAGGCGAAAAGTGTATCTCTCAGCGCTACTCAATCCCGCGACGTACTCGAAACACGTATATGATGTGCGTCAATGGCTGGTCTATATTTTTTATGCTGCGTCGCGTGGTGCCCCACTACTCGTAGGGTAGAGCCACTACGATGCTGCCCCTCGGTGGCTCGGCGCGTTGCGGATATGCCAATCTCTTACGCTTTACTCGTCGCATGCACAAAGGAGCAGTGGGATCAAATACCTCTAGAGCCCACGCTGCCACCAAGGCGTCGACGGGCCATGGCTGGAGGGCGTAGTGAACAGGCGCATTTCAGAGCCGATGACGGCGACATGTCGATGGACCCTGATTGATGCTTATCGGCGGCTGCTCGAGGTGATGACCCCACCCACGCGGGTCTCAACCAAGAGCTTGGGTTGGAGCTTGTTACGAACGATGTGATGTAAACGTGGGCGTAGAAATAACTTCGAAGACACGGGACGCCGCGTGGGTATGTTGTACGATTGAAGGGAGCATTGCTTTTGTGTTATCTCACCGCACCTTCATAATACGCTCGTTGAGCCGCACCTGCATCACGGAGATATCGGAGCTAGACCCGCGCGCGAATATGGCAATGCCACCCGGGAAGCCACAGCAGGAAAGCGCAGACGGTCATGGTATGCTTTTGCTTTCATTCAACGGTCTTTGCGCTGATATGTCTAAGTCTACAATGCCTCAAGATCATTACACGTCCACCTCATCGTGACAGTCTAGCCGCGCTCACTGCCCCTCAGCCTGACGGCTTGACCGTACTTCTGCAGCTTGGTAATGAGCTGGTCACCCTGCTTGACTACGTCTGCGTACTGCTTATTCTTGTCGTCGGGTCGGTTGGTCTCGATGATGCCCTTGACGCGGTCGATGGTGCAGGGTATGCGGTCGGCGGCGATAAATCGAGCGAGGTCCCTAGTTGTTGTTAGTCAAAGATGCTGGAACGGGAAAGATGGATATCACTCACTTGTCAAGGAAGTCCACGGTGACGCCAAAGTCCTTGGCCATGCTCTCTAGGCCGACGACCCTGTACGACTGGAGGAGTTGCTGGTATCCCCGTAGGCGCATCTCCCTCACGTACCAGCCACGGTGCTCGTACATGTAGCGGTCCTGGCTGAGGAAGTTGGTCTCAACTTCACCGAGCGCGCCGAAGAAGGTCTTGTAGTCACCCTCGTACAGGCTCTTGACGAGCTTCGACAGTGGTGTGAAGTCAACTGGCACTTCCTTCTCTTGTTGTCCGCCGAGGGTGGTGAGGTTAACGAGGGTAGGCACTGGTGTTGCTGTCGAGCCTGACGCATCTGCCATCTCCTCGTCGCCTGCTGTTGGTCCTGCCGATGCCTGGCCAGTGATTGCCGAGAGTTTCTCTTCTGAGGTTCCGACAATGGCCTTGATCTCAGGCGCGTCCACAACCTTGGACTTGAAGTCGACACGCTTGAGTGACACGGAACCGGCGAGAATGGCGTAGACGACGAGACTTGAGTAGCTGCATAGTTCGTAGCTGGTGAACGTGGACAAGCTGTCGAGCAGTAGCGGGGCGGCCTGCGAGTGTGATCGGACGGTGAGGTAGTGTAGACCAGTGTATGCCTTCAAACGGTTGCGGCGATCCCAGTCACCACCGCTCTCTACCAATGCGCTTGCCCGGTCAATCGACTTCTTGGCCAATATTCTGTCGCCGAAGAAGAGCGCAACGCGTATTATGGCGAGGACGAGGTCGATCTTGGTGCCTAGGATGCCTGTCTTCTCGAAGATAGCCTCGTAGCTGGCGATGGCTTTGTCCTGAATCTTTGTTAGTCCTGTCATCTGATGATATATACTGCTCTGCACACCTTGTCGCCTATGCGGTTGTAGAGCTCTGCGCGCTTGCCCCTCGCAGCCTGTACTTCGGTCTCGCCTGCCTTCTCTTCGGCCTCTTCCTCCTCCTTCTGTATCGCCTCGAGCTCCTTCTCGCTCTCCGCCTTGAGGCTCTCATAGAGTTTCTCGTCCCACGACAGCGGAACTTCTAATGAGGGCGTGCGTGTGGCGAGCATGGTCGCTAAGCTGGTAGACGGTCTCCGGTTCTTGTTTGGCTGGTCTGCGCTGCCCTCGCCCTGTGCATTCAGGACGCCGTCTACCGGGTGGGCGAGGTACCGGTAGAGCGGCGCCATCTTGTTCTCGGTGATGGCATCTTGGACCGACTTGAGGGCGGATTGCTTGGCTTGTTTGGAGGCGGAGGGATTGGTGAGCTGGAAGATGTTCTGTGACAGCTGGAGGTCGGGGTACTTGGCGAATTGCGGATCACCCATCTTGGAGTTTGCTTTGCGGTGTGAGGGGATGGGCGGTGGTGGGTGGTGGTAAAGGTGGACGGGGCGTGACCGTGTGCGATGTTGCTATGATGAATGATGCCCGCCGCTCGACTTCCGCCGACGTAGTAAAGCTCGCGCACGGACAGCCTTTGAGACCAGCGGAAACTAGAACTGCAGAAGCTACCTCACTCGCTCCTCCTATCTTCTCAGTCTCTCTTTCTGTTTTCAGTAGAGATTCAATTTCTTGTTTCCACATCAATACAGTCCCTGAAGAATCTCAGCCGAGCCACTGCAAACTACCTATCCTCATCCAACGCGTCGGACTTGGAGCCGGCCTTCAGACGCGTACCACCAAACTTCACAACATGGCGAACAACGACCAAGGCAGAAAGCGTGCGCGCTCACCCTCGAGATCGCCATCACGGTCACCACCCCGTCAGCGAAAGCGCCCCGGAGCCGGTGCCCGAGTGTCAGCCGCCGACCGCGAAGCCGCCCGAAAGCGTGCGCAAGCGAGAGAAGAAGAGGCGGCGAGGAGGGCCCAGCAGGAAGCCGCGCAGAGAGGTGTGCACGATGTCGTCAAGCAGCATTACAACGCCGTCCCGGAGCGAGGCCGCGAATGGCGCAACACAGACAGCAAGATCAAGGGCCTGCGCAGCTTCAACAACTGGGTCAAATCGTCCATCATTCAGAAATTCATCGGCGACGAGCGCAATATCAAGGTTCTCGATGTCGGATGCGGAAAGGGCGGAGATCTGGGCAAGTGGGAGAAGTCGAGGAAGGTGGAGCTATACGTTGGATGCGATCCCGCAGATGTGTCGATCAAGCAGGCCAAGGACAGATTCGCCCAGATGCAGAGGAAGAACCGGCGCTTGTTTCACGGCGAGTTCTACGCCAAAGACTGCTTCGGAGAGTGGCTAGGCGACATACCCATCATCAAGGAAGTTGGCATCGATCCCGGAGCCGGCGGCGGCAATGCTATGAGCCAGCGCTGGGGCGGCGGTGGTTGGGACATGGTCACCATGATGTTCTGCATGCACTACGCTTTCGAGAGCGAGTCGAAGGCAAGAGGCATGCTACGAAACGTCGCAGGTGCGCTGAAGAAAGGTGGACGCTTCATTGGCTGCATACCCAACTCGGACGTGCTGTCGCAAAAGGTCATTGAGCACCACAAGGCTAAAGGCACCGCACCGCCTGACGTTGACGGCGCCGATGACGACGACGACCGCCCCGCATTCGCAAGTGACGACGAAGACGACTGGGACCCGGAGAAGAGTCTTGATAGCCCCAAGCCCGCCGATACCGAGCACGCGAACGACGACAAGCCAGACGAATCGAAGAACAAGGAGAAGGAGAAGGAGAAGGAGAAGGCACAGGACGAACAAGAGGACGGCGAAGTAGAGGACGAGGGCTTCGGCTTCGGCAACAGCATCTACAGCGTCAAGTTTCCAGGCAAGACACCTTCCGATGGCACGTTCCGTCCTCCCTTTGGTTGGAAGTACTCATACTGGCTCACTGAAGCTGTTGAAGCACCCGAGTACGTCGTTCCCTGGGAAGCTTTCCGAGCGCTGGCAGAAGACTTCAACCTCGAGCTGCAGTACCGCAAGCCCTTCAGAGAGGTCTGGGAGGAGCAAAAGGACGATCCTATCCTGGGTCCTCTCAGTGAGGTCATGAAGGTCAGGGATCGCTCGACTGGCCGACTCCTGACTTCGGAAGAAGAGTTGGAAGCGGCAGACTTTTATCATGCATTCTGTTTCTACAAGGTTTAGATGGGCAGCATTATCGGCGTCTGGGATCTGGCAGGAATGCCTGGGGTGATGATGGAAAAGTCATCTTCAACGTGTATTATATTTTCATATGGCAGGACAGACCAGGTCTGTGAATCAGATTCGAAGGGCTCCCTGATGTTCATACGGGATGTGATAGCCAAACAGGTTCATTGAAATTCTACCTTACACGAATATTGTCCCCCGTGCTCCTGGTATTTACTAGTCGGCTGCAACGAGTCGCAATAACAATGAAACATAGCAAAGGACTATCCAGATACGCGTGATGGAAGTTCAAGCTATCTTGTAGAGAGAAGGTATCAATAGAAAAAAAAAACCTAAATGTAGCCAACATTCACATGCCACCAGTAACCAAATACGCGCGCCCCAGATCACGTTGCCCGTGACGCAGGCGGATCGAGTTGCCGAGGTCGGTCGCGTTTTCCCCGGCAAACGGGGCGTGGCATGGCATCAGATCCAAAGCCCGAACTCCCTGCGCTTCCGCAACCCATCTCCGCATTCCACTACCAACGCCCCCCATACGTTCCTTCCTTACTCGAATTCACCTATCTCGAGAGCAAGCGCGCGCCCTAGTACGACGGAAAATTAATCACGACGATTCGAAGCTGGACTTCTCCCCTTCGCGATACATACTAAGCGTATTCGTGGGCAGCGACGAAGCCGATAAGATGGTTGCTGATGCTTTGGTTTACCACCCGACGGTGTCGCATTATTTGAAGTTTGTTGCGACGACTGGTATGCTTCCTCTTCTCGTATCCTCCATACCCACTATTCAATCCGTCTATCCCGCGTCATCCCATTTCACCTCCGAAACCCCCGTCTCACCACCCCGTATCATACATCTAACGTGCACATTCCTCACTAACCCTTCCTTTCAGTCGGACGCGACAAAGTTCTCCGCACCCTCCAATACTTCTCCCGCTTCCTCGCCTGGTACCTGTACCGCACCAACCGACCCGCGTCGGCCATCGCCCCGTATGAAGCGACCAAGAAGACCTTCGGCGCGACGCGCAAGTTGATGCGCGTGGGCAAGTTCGTCGAGCACTTCCGCGCCGCGGCCGTAGCCAGCGATGCCAAGAGCATGGATCCCGTGCTGAGGTTCACAGCCGTAGGAAGACAGTTGGGATATGCATTCTACATGCTCTGTGACAATGCTTGCGTGGTGAGTCCTCCCACCTCAACAACACAAAACACAACAGATCCAGAAACTAACAAAACCCCCAGCTCGACGCAACATCCATCCGCAAATCCTCCTTCGCCCCGCGTCTCCTCCGCGAAGGCTACCGCGCCTGGTTCGCCGGCATCTCCTTCTCCATCGCCTCGGGCCTCTACCAATACTACAACCTGCTCCAGCACTCCAAGACCATCACTCAGTCCTCGGACCCGGAGAAGGTGGTGGAGACGAAGAAGTTGCAGAAGGAGCTTAATGCTGTTAAAGTGCAGTTGGTTAGCGATATTTGCGATATCACTATTCCGAGCAGTGCGCTGGGCTGGGTTGATTTGGATGATGGCATTGTGGGCTTGGCGGGTACGACGAGTTCGCTGCTGGGGGTTTGGGGGCAGTGGAGGAAGACTGCTTAGGTGTGATGAAGTGCGCGGGGTTTGTGGGGTGGGAGAGGAGAGGTGGGGAAGATGTGTTGGAGGTTGGATGTACGGGATATCTTCAAGTTACTGTCTGCGTTGTTCGGTTCGATTTGCTCAATACTCCTGTTCTCTGCATAATGCCATTATTCGAGACGCATGTGCCCCTCTTTCTTTGCTGTTCCTTGATTGCAACTGTCAGTCTTCATCGTTTCCCCCCTAAGCACCTGGGATGTTCACATGAAATCTGCGTTTCCATCATCAGATACCATACCTCAACGGTTCGTCGTATTCGCAGCACTCCCTCTCTGGCTTCTATGGCGATGTCTCTCTCCCTTCGTCTTGCTTCCAAAGAAGCGTATATTAGGCCTAGAGGTTTATGTCCAGTTCGCATGATATTTGGATTACTTGCACCAATACCGGCATGATGACAGCTAACTAGACGTTTCCAAATATTGTCAGCTCGGAGAACTTTGCGTATTAAAACAACATTCACCGCTTACAGCAACAGATAAGAGCATGACACTCAATGGAGTGGGGGTGAACGTGTCTCCTAGGGAATACAGTAGGTCTGCTCGATGGCATAGATCATGGGCAGTATGGTTGAGTTATTCGTGAAGCTTACGCTGTGTTTATTGTGTGGCAAAGCTGCGCTATAGCCCTACCCTGTATAACTTCTCGTGTCTTTCGCGCTCGAGCCAGGATATTCATCTCGCGAAAAATCTTTGGTTGTGTACATTGCGAGGTGGGAATTTGGAACTGTGGTTAGTCTTACTGTGTAGATATGTGGCAGCTAATCACGAACCACTGCTACTACAAAGACAAAGCAGATCCATCGGGAGACACTTGGTAGAATTTGCGGTGCTATGTCGGTAGCATGTCATCGCGCGTTATGGCACTGTCGCGGAGACTGGGGGAGTTTAGATTCTTTTGAGAGATTCCGAGATGCTGCTTAGGTTACAGAACGGATGGCTACTCCGAGACTAAACAGATTTGAAGAGGGTGTTCAGCGGTTTTAGGATAACGTGCGGAGTTAGTTCTGGTTCCATGAGTTGTCGCGGAGACGAGTCTGGCCTCATGTGAGCTGTCTCCGTGGTCATCGGCTTACCTGCAGATGGTAGACAGCGTAGGCAGGATCATAAACAGTAACAGGGACACTATCTTACCATGCAGTACAGGATACTGTATTGTACAGATACACTAGGCTTTGTCTCTACTTTGAGGTTGCAGACTATTGAGCAATCGTGTTTTTAATATCTCTCGGATACTTGGCGGGATTACTACGCAGAAGCAACGAGGTTCATCACGTACAGTTCGCACCGATGCAAAATCCGCCGATGTACCGCAATCGCCCCGAATTCTCCCTGCTTTTCCCCAAGATAGACATAACGTCACCCACAGTGTAATTGTCTGTAACGCCTGAGCGATGATAAGCCCGAAGACAGCCATACCAAGGCGGGCGCATCGCTCAGATTGCCATGTCTTGGCACCGTCTACTTGCACCCTAAATGAGTAGCCACAAGCGGCAACTCACCCCCTTGGGAGAAGACCGTCCCACTGGATGTGGACATCAGTCGGGCCATGAGTCGGGTTAGTTCTGCCGCTTCCGTGGTCACGCAACGTGGACTTTCTTTTGGGTCGTACAGTGGGTTATCAAGAGGGGCTTTTGTGGATTCATTCGAGAAGAATCCCGGACGACGGCCTGTTCGAGGTAACGCTTTGCAGGCCCGCTTTCTGGTGGAGTCCGCGTGGGAAAAGGCTGAGGTAGGCGCAGAATCGATTCCGGAGTTTTGTGGGATGGGGAAAATGGAGCGAAGGTATATGGTCGGGTACAAGCGGTATGGTCAGCGTTGCTGAACTCAATGTTGTGATAGCCGTTGGCTGTTGGTTGTATCGATAGCTTGGTCTGAGGTCGGCAGCTACTGCCCGCGGAACCATGTTTGGTCCTAGCCGTCGCCGTTGAGGATAGCCACCGGATCTATGTCTGGACAGGGTCCAGGGGAGTGCGGACAAAACGGTGAAGCAGAACTGGGGCGCTTGACTGCATCTGCCATCAAGTTTACGAAGCTCTGTTTCGGTATGCCAGCCGTCGCGCAACGTCCGATTCAAATTTTCCGATGTGCTGTTTCACTGCCATCCATGGATCCTAGAGCCATACCAGGCATACGCGTTCGCGTTGGGTCCGAGGAGTGATGGAAGTTGCAGATACATCGCGGGAGGGTTCTATGCTTTTTTCATCGAACCGCTCTGAACTCGCGAAGGATCCGGGGATGGATTCTGATGCAGTAGTGGGAGCCATGCTGCGTTTATCGATGGCCTCGAACGGCGGCGCGTTATCGCAAGCTTACTTAGGTACACGGTGTTGCGAGCCTCGAAGCGTTAGCCCTCTTCCCCAATGTCTCTACTGCGATAGGAAAGCAAATATGCCGAGGCAGCTGTACTCTTCAGTATAGCTGAGAAAGAGTAATATGGCTTCAGCTAGATAAGGTGTTGCGCCTCATGGCAGGTGGAGGGTGTGTGGCCATGCGACGACGTTGGGCAACTGCCCTGTTGATCTCGGATGCTTTTTCAGACCCTTGGCCGCTTACCATCACCCATGCAGAGTCGCGAACCCCCCTACACCCTCACGTTTCATCGCTTTTCATCTGACCTCATCATGGACCCGGAGAGGCTGCCGGTATACGAGAGCTGCATTCCAAGGTTGCGTCGATGCTACCAAGCGACATTGAGGTGGAAACAGGGCGCGGGGTGTGGTTATGGCTGCGGCGTGGGTTCTCTTTAATCTCCTACCCATCATGCAGCACGCCCTTAGTCCAACTCTCCTATAGCGACACATTCACCGTGTTGCGAAGTCGTAACATGCCAGATCCATGAATCGCTCCACGAGGCCCAGCACCGCCATCAGATACAGTGGGCTGCGCTACAGACTTCCCTTGCCGATATCTGACCGAGGCGTAGTCCTCAAATGTTTGTTGCCCCGAAGCCCCAGGCTGGAACTGCCATAGCGGATAGGAGGTTAAAAGGAAAGGGACATGGGGACAAAACGGGACGCTTCCTGGAATACCGCCGCGCCGCTACAGAACCATCGTCGCGTCATGCCCCGGTAAAGCACCGTGTCGCCCGCGCGCTCGACTAGAGCTACAACCTCCGCGAAACTGTATACCTCGCGTGCAACTAGACTTAGATTTCCATTGGCCGGCTCCGAAATGCGATGCGAACCATACGGCAACACCGAGATCTCCATGGCCACTGTTGTCATGAAGGCCATGAGACTTTGCAAGCCAGGGGGCTGGCTCTATAGCTGCTCGCTTCGAGTGGTGTGGACCCCGGAGAGTCGTGAAACGAGTCATCCACCCTTGCGAACCGTAGCTGTTCGAACGACCTGCGACCATTCATTCCGCATCATGCTCCTTCATCCCGACGCCACCAACGGGAGCTTCCTTTCCAAAGGATTTGATCTTCAATAGGATCCCCTGGATAAGACAGGCTGCACGCTCGCTCACAGATCCTGGACTCTATTGGCTCGCCTGTGTCCAGCCGGCTTTCTTTCCTTTGTTTGTGATGAAGCGACATTGCGGCACATCTATTGCAGGAACTTGAGCAAGGCTAGGAGAAGAAAAATCAAGAAAGTGGCATATATTCAGCATCTAAAGCAAACCTAAGCAACAAAGTTCTGGGCTATCTGGTTTCAGGCGACCAGGTTGCAAGGCTGTTTTGCGGGGTACCAATCAAACTCGACTGTCGGCAGACTATCCTGTTGCCACCATCGCGCGCACTCTTGTCGACTTTTTGCTCATCCTGTTCGTGGCTGCAACACAGGTGAACGACAAGCGATCAGACAACCTCCATGACTTGCTTTCGCCCCCCTTAATGTGGACCCTTGCGGCGCCCCCGCGTTGTAGTTCGTCGATGAATGTGTAAATGATAGGTCGCCAGCTTAGTCAAACGCTGTCATCTTCGAAAGAAGCGTTACCAGTTACGCCAGTGTCTAATGTCTCACAAGGACCGAGTAGGAGAAGCCCTTGCGCTGCAACCCATCACACCTATCACAGCAGGGGTTCGGGCATGTACAGGCTCACCTGCCGCTAGTTGCACGACCCCGTTTTTGATCCTCCATGCGGGACAGCAGGGGTTGCACCATGTGTCGTAGGGAGGGCAACGCACGCATGTCATGACTTGGACGTTCGGCACGAGAGACCCACCGTTTAACGTATTAGACCACTACACCTCCTCGTCTGATGCAGCCTCGAACGCGGCCTCGATTTGGATCCATTGTAGCACCATCTCTTGCAGGTCCATCTTCCATCTTTCCAGAACGTTGGCAGGACCATGTAATGGAGTTTTATCGCGACTAGCTATACTACCTTCACATATATCCGGATTCGCTAACCGACACGACGCTCGCTCGCCTCTACCGTAATACCTCCACATCGAGTGCGCAAACATGAGCACCGACACTGCTCTGTTACAGGATCCGAAAAACCATCCTGACAATGCGAACTTGCCAAACGTCAACGAACCTGCGACAATCCTCGGAGTCACTGTTTCCTTCCTGGTACGTGCGATGATTGAGAAATCATTCCATCAGACGTCATGTACTAAGTCTGTCAGGCACTCGCCATCTTCACATTGAGCTTCCGATTATGGTTCCGCATCAAGGAACGCCTTTGGGGTTGGGATGATGTCTTCGTTGTTCTCGCTGCTACGGCGAGTTTCATCGGAGATATCATGGTTTGCATGAGTATGTTTGTTGAGATCCCACGAACAATGCGGTTGACTAATCATTTATAGTGCCCGAGGATGGTCTTGGGCTGCATTTGTGGACACTTGATGCTGAACATCTAACGGCATATTTCAAGGTACTTCGTCTTGACATAACATTGACTAGCCAGGCTAACTTTGGCTTCAGCACATCTATGCGACAAATGCTGCGTACACCGCAAGTACAACCCTGATCAAACTCTCCATCCTCATACAATATCTCCGACTCTTTGCCGAAGCCGCGCCCTCCACCACTACCGCTCAATATCGACTCGCACGCCGTATCACCTGGGGCATGATATTGATATGCTCACTCTGGGGGTTGACTTTTTTCATGCTCGCGCTTTTCCCCTGCAACCCCGTACGCAAGAACTGGAACCCTACATTGCAGGGCACATGCATTGGATGGGGCAGCAAAAACCCTGCCGACTTTTTCCACATGTTTTTGGGCCATGCTGTCAGTAACTGCTTACTGGATATCATGGTCCTTCTAGTACCTCTGCCCTTCGTAACCACGCTAAGGATTGCGGGTAAAAGCCGAGCAGGCTTAGTTGGTCTGTTCAGCTTGGGCTGTGTGTAAGTGCATAATGAGCTTCCAAAAAAGGCTTCATACTGACAATCCACCAGTGTCGTCATCGTAGCTGTCGGTCGCATGATCGCTATGTCTGTTAACAAAGCTGGCACCAAGCCTGTCCTAGACATGTCCTTCCACACACCCATCGTCTATATCTTCGCCGTCCTCGAAGTCAACTTCGCTATCATCACAGCCTCCATACCCATCTTCTGGCCCGCCATAGCAACACTAGCTTCCAACAAGATCTTCGTCGTCAATGAAGTACAGATCCACGTCGAACATGTCACAAGAAACGATAGCTTCGACTCCAGCGGTGGCATCAGCCTTAGCGACCGAAAGATACAATCGTCAGGTGGGGATAGCAAGATGGGCGTTGTTACCACAATATCCGACCGAGCACCACCTCGAAAGTCAGGCGAGAAGTCATCCATTCACCATCATCACAAACCAAGCACCGCTTCATCTGTCGGTCCAACCACCGGCTTTGGAGGAGGACGAAAACCAAGCACCGCCTCATCCGTAGGCCGAACAATGGGCATGGACCTCGCCGGCCGCCCCAGCCAAGAATCATCACGCTACCTATACCGCATCCCGAGCAACGAAAACAGGAGCTCGAAAAGCCTTACGCAGAGCGAGGGCGACGACTGGTTCATGGAGATGGACAGGGCGAATTCACGCGGACAAGTGACGACAACGGTCGAGAAGTCCTCGATTCCGTTCGAGCACCTCAAGGCGACGGATAAAAAGTAAAAAGCCAGCTTGTTTGAAGGGGAGACGGGGTGGGAAGGATTGAGTACATGTCTTTAGTAATGTCTTTCGCGTGATACCCTGCAGCAATGCAATATGCAACATATCTATTTCCTGTACGCAGCACATACAATAGATGAGTATGTAGTAATGTAGTCATCTAATTCATTCTTGCACGATTCACACATTGGGCACCTTCGTTCAACTTGCTCACGTGGATCGTTCGGTCTTGTTATACATTCCCAAGACGCCGCGGGCCGCAACGTTGGTTATCGGTCCGAACTGGAAACACGATGGAGTCGATGGATACTGTGTACTGATTCAATCACCGATGGTTCCCCCGCAGAGATGCCGTGTTGGATCTCAATTGAATCGCGCACGGTGCTGTTGTTCGTGTTCGTCCTGCTCCCCGCTTGCCGCGCTTTCTCCGTTGTATGAGCGTTGGGGTTTTGGGTCGGAGGGAGGGTTGACCGTTGTCTGCTCTGCCAAGGGGTGGTTCTCGACCATTCATGATTACCAGCCACCTACATTGGCGAGAAGTTAGGAAAAGTATGTAAGACTGTGGCCCCGCTTGCGTAAAGTTTGGCTTTACGTCCACAACTCTTATCTCCACCTGGGAAGCAGCACATGGTTACATGGCTGGAATATCTACTGCGCAGTCTGCTCGTCGAATACAAACACACCTGGGCGGTAAGATACTGCACATTCGATTTCGACGCTAAGGTAAACTCTCGGGTTGCTGTCCCGATCGAATGTTGTACTTTAGATCGCGTGCTCACATGCCTTTTGTTGCGGCAGCTGCAGGATAAGCTCTGCGCGGCGTCAGCGGCGCCAGGGTTGCTAACCTGTTCGAGCGACGCGCGGAGGCTTCGGACGCCTGAAGAAAGCATGGCAAAGCTTGAGGCTGGACGCAACTTCCCCTTCAATATCGACGAGGAACTTTGTGTTTGACAACCGCTGATTGCCGTTATTTCTTGCGAGCGGCAGTAGAACTTAATACCGAACGCCACAGCATTCTAGAAGGCAAAGGACGCGTAACCTTGGATAGAGTTGTAGCCCCAACGGCTGTCTTGCTCGGTACCCAGATATTCCCGGCGGAAATGTGCACCTGCTTTATGGAGTAACAGCCGCGTCGTGGGCCTCCAAATCCTACGCCACAAGTATTGGGAAAAGCTTTCTTCCATTGTGAGTGGTCTGATGAGTGCGACAGGACAGCACCAAACCCGATGCGGGTTCGAGTGAGGGTGATCACAGGGTCTTTTGCAGTGAGTGCCACAACAGCCGTACCAGGGTTGCAAGCAAGCTCCAGCTCAAGTGAGAGCCGTTAAAGTTTGAGCGGTCCGCCTACGAAAGCTTATCTTCTACTCCAACGACGCTCTTACTATCCTATTACGCTGGCAATCGTGACGCGACACCCTGCTTGATCGCATTCGCATTCTGGTTAAGCCCCACGCGACACTACAATGGCTTCCGCCGCGGAAACCCAACCGGGTCTGTACAATGCGACTGACGCGAAAGGCGACATCGAACGTAGAGGCAGTGTCGCAAAGACAGAGAAAGGAAGGTGGGAAAGATTGTGGCCCGTTATCGCATGCGGTGCAGGTCTTTTCAGCGATGGCTACCTCAATAATGTATGCAGAACTCGATCCAAGAAGCGACACCCAGACGATTCCCAATGCGATAACAACATCCCCCATCCCAAAGCACCACCACGACATCCAAGTGGAGATTGAAACTGCGAGAATAGAAATGCTGATACAGGAATGCCTAGATCATTGGACCGGTGAATACGATGCTCAAGACAATCTATCCAGACTCGTATGCGAACTCTTCGGCCCAAGCAAACGTCTCGAGTATTACCTTTGCGGGTACAGTCGTGGGCATGCTGTTCTTCGGGTATACATCAGACCACTTTTCGCGAAAATGGTCGTTGTTCACGTCAACCATTATTATCATCCTTTTCGCCATCTTGGGTACAGCCTCATACGGAGCTGGAGGTAGTCCAAGTGGACTACTGACGGCGCTCGTTGTATACCGTTTCTTCCTCGGAATAGGTACGCCGGAATGCATTTATATCTTCCCGACAAACATACTGATTTGCGACAGGTATCGGCGGAGAGTACCCAGCAGGCAGCGTCGGCTGCGCGGAATCCACCGGCGAACTCAAGCAAGGCACCCGAAACAAGTGGTTCATCCTCTTCACCAACGTACAGATCGACCTAGCGTTCTTCATCAGCGCCATCGTCGCGACCGTCGTTGTCCTCGCTACGGGCGAAGACCATCTACGAGTCGCCTGGCGCATCTGCCTGGGCATCGGAATCATCCCGCCTCTTTCGCTGCTGTACCTGCGATTGAAACTACAGGAGCCCGAGGCGTTCAAGCGCGAGTCGCTAGCCAAGGCAAAGACACCATGGCTGCTTATCATCAAGTACTACTGGTTTCGCCTCAGTATCGTAAGCATCATCTGGTTCATCTACGACTTCAGCGCGTACTCATTCGGTATCTACGCCACGTCCATCTTGGCCAATTTGCTAGGAGAGTCGGCACCGCTGTGGAAGAGTCTGGCATGGAACATCCTCATCAACTTCTTCTACATGCCTGGTTGCCTTGCTGGTGCTTTTGTCGCGGATCTACCTTCCATGGGCCCTAAGAAGACGCTGTTCATTGGTGTGACCTTGCAGGGTATCATCGGCTTTATCATGGCTGGATGCTATCCTTGGTTGAACAAGCCTGAGAACGTTGCCGGCTTCGTCGTGGTCTATGGTGTTTTCCTTGCGCTGGGCGAGTTTGGCCCTGGTGATAATATTGGTTTGGTTGCTTCCAAGACGTGCGCAACGGGTATACGGTATGTCACTTTGTCGCATCCCTAAAGCTCCAGTTTCTAACTTCTAGACAGAGGACAATACTACGGTATCGCAGCGGCTGTAGGCAAGATCGGTGCCTTTGCCGGCTCTTACGCTCTGGACGCACTTCAGAAAGCTGCAGGCGATGATGAAGTTGCTGCGGGTCGTAATCCCTTCTTCGTGGCTTCTACTCTTGCCTTTGTGGCTGCTGGGCTGGTATTGCTCCTTCCTCATATCGGCCAGGACACAATCGACCAGGAGGATATCCGGTTCAGGGAGTACCTGACAGCGAACGGATATGATACTAGCAGCATGGGCTTGCAGAGTGCAGACGCAACGAGCACTGAGAGCGACGACAATGGCGCTGTACCGGTTGAGCAGACGTATGGGAAGTAAGGTAGGTTGGGCGCGAAGAGGAGACAATCGATAACGACGACAGTTTTAGGCAGTAGGGAACTATTTTCATCCGAATACAACTCGCTACAAACCACCATCTCAAGATCACTACCGTCCTTTGCCAACGATCTGTATGCACACTCAAGAACGGGACAGCTCCAGAGCTCCAGAACCGTAAGTGCAAGCACGTGCTAGGACTACACGCTAGAACCTTCCGGCCTAGCGCATTCTCACACTACCGAGGCTATCTGCAAAGCCGGAGAACCTGGAAACTATTACAACCCACGTCACTAGCAGCTCCCCACCATGCACGACAGACGACAGATATACCATACCACAGCCCACTTGATCCTCCCTGTGCCGTCTTAAACTGGGCATCGTGCGTAATACCATTATACAACGGATACATGGACAAGCCCATCTCACGTGCAATTGGGCACATAAACCTAGGTACCTCGGATCACTGTTCAACCAAAGCAGGCTTAGACACCTAGGTAAAGACACACCGAGCCTCTTCGGCAATATGGAACTAGATGGCCTGAGAGTGGAACAAGCCGTGGTATCCCCACACGAAGGAAGAGACTGCGTCTTCATGTGGACCCTAGTAAGCCTGAATGCGTGTAGTTGAGCCCATCGTCCGGGCACTCTGATTCGAAGGGGAAACAATACTAAAGACCAGCGAGAGACCTCTAATTGACTGACTGCAAAAGCAAACAGTGACCTAACATCCTCACCTCATATACACAGATCCGTGATTCCAAACCTCGATTTCAAACCTCGAATCCAGTTCACCCACCATGTCTCCCGCAGCCGTAACCTCGACCCCTCCAAGCACAAACCCCCACACAAACGGGAAATCATCTACCAAACCCGTCATCACCCCTTCTTCGACGGTCACCTCTCAAATCCCCGCATGGGTCCAACCCGACCTCACCCGTCTCCTCCGCGTAGAGCACAACCCCGGCTCCTTCACCTCGCGCTCCGTCTCCCTCGTCAACCTGCCCCCCGGCGCAGTCTTCGCCCGCATCACAAACCCCACACCAGCCACCGTAGCCTACTCCTCCGTCCAAGCCTCGCGCGACCTACACATCGAGCTAAACTGCGACCTCGTCTATATAAACCATAGCTGCAAGCCCAGCCTGGTGTTTGACATGCAGCGCTGGGAAGTGAGGGTTTCTGAACAGGGAGAGGGGCTTAAGGAGGGGGACGAGTTGACGTTCTTTTATCCGAGTACCGAGTGGAGTATGGCTCAGCCTTTTGAGTGCTTGTGTAAGACGGAGGTGTGTGCGGGGGAGATTAAGGGTGCGAAGGATATGAGCAGGGAGGTGTTGGGCAGGTATTGGTTGAACAGGCATATTGAGGAGATGCTTGCTGAGAGGGATGGGCAGTAGGGTTGTTGTTGATGGGAATGAGGGTTGTGACAAGAGATGGAGACGTAGAGCGTGAAGGCGTTGAGTGGAAGGTCGGTGTTGGTGGTAGAGGTTGAACTATTCATCATGAGCAAGGAAATAAGAACATGAGTACTATGATCATGGCTATGAGATCTTCACACCCTCAGTACCCGTCTAACATTCTCCTGAGTAACCTCCGTGAACCCCAGTCCGAAAACCTTCCTATCTGGTATGTGCCCCTGCCAGGCCTTCCCTCCCCCCTTCCTAGCCTTAACATGATAGATTACTCCCCCAGTTTCAGTCATCAGTGCCTCAAAACCGATAGTATTTTCGCACTCCTTACTGCTACCATAGCTGCCAGGCGCGAGATATGTTATCAGCACGTCTGGCCCCTGTGGCACATAAAGAAACGGATGAGAAGAGAATTGATCTGCGAGGTGGGATAGCAATGCTTTGGCGGTGGAGAATGCGGTACAGAGACAGAGGGTGCGGAGGGTGTCATGTGACACTCTGTTCAAAGTGACGACCCAGACTGTAGGTGGGAGAAGGCTGAAGATTTCTTGCTTGGTGGTAGGAGAGATGGGGTCTTCGAGGTAGGGGCGTGGCCATGAGTCTACTGCCGTTGTATCTGCGTTCTTATCTTTTGATTTGTCTCTGGTCGCTTTCCGCTCCAACGGATTCATCGACATCGACTTCCTGTCCAGTGATACCTTGGGTTCATCGTCTTCCCTTTGCCGCTCTGTGGTCAAGGTGGATACGAGTGTCAGCCATTCAAGTTCTTCCTCTAAGCGTTGGATGCGGTCATCTTCCTGAGAACAGGGAGGCATGACTGAGATGGGTAACCAGGATATCGGGTTTGTAGATGGCGGTGCTGGTAGGACAGGCGGGTCGGGGTCGTCCGGGTTCTGGCGACAAAAGTGGATGTGGATGAGGGAGCGGAATATGACTTGATACTGTGGCTGGGTGACTGATGGCGAATTGCAAAGACTACCCCAACACCAGAGGTGATCTTATGCTTGCATGCCGCCCAGATGACCAGCTAAGCAAGTACAGCAGACTCCGTAACCGCCTGATTGATAACAGGACGTCACAAGATCATCTGTAAGCACTCTCCGGATGCGGTAAATCAACCTGTTCCTTCATTAGCTAGCTCTCACACCCTCACACCCCTCCCTACCACATCAACATACCTCACTATACCTCCCCTGATAAGCCGTCGGCCTCCGATCATCCATCTCCACACTCCACACCTCGCCCTCATCCTCATCCTCCAACTTGCGATACCGCCCCTTCCTGCCCGGCAGAAAATTCAAACTCTTCTCCGCATCCATCTTGGCCGCTCTCTTCTTCCGGTCGCGCTTGTTCTTGCAGATGACGAGCGTGATGATGAGGCAGAACATGCCGACGGTAGCGAGGACGGAGAGGATGATGACGACGATGAAACCGCGTTTTTCGCCTGGGTTCTGGAAGATGGAGGAGTTGGTGTCTCGGGTGTGGAGAGGGGTGGGAGACATGGTGGGTGTGGCGTGGCGTGGTTGTTGTGAGGGTATCTAGGGAGGATGAAATGGGATGGGATGGGATTATGCGGTTGGTGTGTTCCAAGGTTGTGATGTGATATTGTCGCTACGAAAAGAAGGAACTGAAATAACAGGCTCACAGTAGAGGAAGTCGCAATCAACCATATAAACACCCATCACCTCGCCGAAAGCACCGCCTACACAGCCGCCTCCTCCCTCCACCGCCTTGGTGGCCTCACCCTCCTCATGATCCCCCTCCAGGATGGCACTCCTCCCACGCTCCACCCGCACCGCCTTAAAATAGCGACGTGTGCAACCTCTCCTGCCAATCGCAATAGGTCAAGGTACGCATCGTTCAGGCGTGACGTGGCCGAGTGCGTGCTGCGTTTCCGTCGTAAATTGGAATGTGCAAATGAGCGACCGAATTGTTGATAATTTCGTTGCCGACTCATCGTTTGTGTGAGTTGTGCGGCACAGCCGCGTGCCGGGGCAATGAATCGTTAGGTTATAGGGGGCCTTGAACGCTCTGATCGTCGTGCGTGAGACGAGACGAGATGAGATGTGGGGGGCCTGGAGTCATTGTCAGCCTCGCTGAATCAGTGGTCATTTTGTATGTTGGAACTTTGACGACTACATAATTGAAGCCGGTGACGCTTATGTACTGTCTAATGGTCTCGAACAGAACAAGTTGAACGCAATGGATGGATACATGATTTGATAATGGTTCGCACCGAATTCTATGTACTGAACTGAATAACCATATTCAACGCCAGAAAATGCACAAGACCATGCTATGTACGACAACAAAAATCATTTTCATAACCCCACCCAAACACCCGAACACCCTCATTACACGTATGCTCAATGAAAAAACGCGGCCGAAGCCCCTGCACAACACCTACACCTCTCACCATCCCCATCTACATCCTCCTATAATTCTCCGCCAACCCCTCAAACTGATCCAGCCCATCAACCCCATTACCAGGACAACTCCAATCGCGCTCATACGCCTTATCCGGCAGAATCCCCGCCTCGCGCCCCCGCCTATAACTCCACTGCGTGCTGCTCTCCGTCTCCCACGTCCAGTAAAACCAGCCCCAACCTGCTTCGAACGCATCCATCTGGCCAATCGCAAACTGGTACAGCCACTTCTTGTACTGATCACTGTAATTTTTCGGGTCGGCATTGGCCTGGTCGCAAGAGCACTGCGACGATTCCAGCGGACACTGCGGCTTGAGGACAGCACCGGATTTACCGTCTTGGGCCTGTAGAGTGCCTTCCCAGCGTGTGCCTGTGTTGACGTTGTTGATGTATTGCGTGCAATCTGTGTCTGCCTGGGACCATTCTCCGCACATGGTAGGCCCGAAACCAGTTTTCTTGTCCATGGAGCGCTTGCTTTGTTGGGTCCAGGCTTCGCAGGCGAAGTTGAGCTTGTCGCGGTGCTCGAGCTTGATCTGATCCGTGTTGAAGATGACGTATTGGTGCACGTCGAGGAGGAGATTGTCGTTGCCTTGCAGCTTGCCTTGCCAGTTGTCGAGGCCCATGAAGCCGTCGCCGAAGACGATGATGCCTTCGATGCCGTCAGCGCGGATTTGATCGATGGCTTTTTGTGTCCAGGCGACTACTTTTTCGGTGTCGAGTTCGACGTTGCGGGGTTCGTTGACGAGGCCGTACATGGTGACTACGTTCTTGTAGCGATCTTGGGCGAAGAAGACGGAAAGCTTGTGGTGGACATCCAGGGTACGTTGGCCGTTTTTATCGCCGTCTGTGCCGTTCAGCCAGTTGATTTGGCCTTGACGACCAGAGTGGTTCCAGCCGTTTTGACTACCTGGTGCGCCATGAAGATCAAGGTTGACGCGGAGCCCGTTTTGTCGACAGTACTCAATACCGCGGAGAAGGTAGCGCCATGCTACTTGCGGTACGTAAACGTCGTCGTCGTATGTCTGCACGATCCAGTAGCCGAATGGGAAGCGGACGTGATCCATGCCAGCCTCCCTGATCTCCTGGAAAGTCTTCTTGTTGATGAATGTAGAGTAGTGCTTCTCCATGGTGTCTTTCGCCTTTGCAGGTCCGAGCTTGCTCAAGAACGTCCATTCGTCGACTACGTTGTCTTTGGACCCATATTGAGAGAAGTAAGACGGCGTAATGAAAGGCTCGAGGTTGAGCCAGCCGCCGACGTTTACACCACGAATAGGTGTCTTACCATACTCGAACGAGTCTGATAGTTTCGGAACGGACGGGTTTGCTTGAACATCATCGTCCCAGGAGTCGTTGAGACCGATGACCGGGAGGCCTCCAACAAGTTTGTTGGTGTAGGTGACGTTGAAATCATCGGTATCGTACCATGCCCACGGGTCCAATATGCCACCTCGGTCCGCTTCCGGCACGCTGTTTCGGTCCTTCCCAGCTAGATTGTCGTTCTTTGGCCCCGATGAGGCAGCGGCGGATCCGCTCCCTGAGCTTTCGTCATCCTTGCCTCTGCTCGAGTGCAATGCGGCGACAGGTATGACGATAGCCAGGATGATCACGACGCAGACTATGGCGAATATTATGCGCTTTTTCTTCTTCTTTCGTGCCAGCTCCTCTTCTGTGTATACTGTCGGCGGGCCACTGCCTGCACCTCCGCGCTTCTCCATCATGAATCGATACTCGGAATCGTCGTCGATGCCACCCTCTTCAGCCAAGGGTCCGCTGATAACGCGCCGCTTCTTCTGTTCTGTGCGGTGTTGCTTCTCTTGCCGTCTTCGTTCTCTCCGCTCGTCGGCCTCTGACGGTGTGTATTTCGATTCGTGTCTGCGTCGTCGTTCTTCCCGCTCATCATCGGTGTATGCGCCTCTTTTCCTCTCGAGCTCATCGTCAGTCTGACTTTGCTTCAACGCAGCAGCCTTCCGTTTCTCCTCTCGCCGTTTCCTAGCTTTCTCCTCAAGCAATGCGGCATCGCTCTCTGCAGCGCGTCGTCTGGCTTCCTCCTCTTGCTGCTCTTTCCTCTTCTCCGCTCGCTCATGCTTTATGCGGTCCTTCTCCAAGTCTTTCTCCTTCTTCCTGACCTCTTTGAGGTATTCATCGTCGTAGTCGTAGGCTCCCCAGCCCCCAGCCTTCTTCGCATTGGTCTTGTCAAGCTTCGCTAGCGCATCGAGACTCAGAGGAGCTGAGCCTCGACTTCCCCTTCCACTTCCGTCTGTTGTAGAATTGCGCCGCGATCTTTGAGCTTTACGTGGTGCTGGGGATTCTTGCTCTGTGTCGCTCTGGTGTCTCGACCGCCGGGGCGGCTTTGGCAGTAAGTCGCCTGAAGAGTCTGTCGCCCTGTGTCCCTTTCTCCGTCTTCCTTCCCGATCGTAGACTGCATCCTCACCGCGGGATTCTCTCCTTCGCCGTCGCTCAGGGTCTACGTCGCCATGTGATTCTCTGCGCCGTCTTCGTTCGTCGCCCTGCGGTCGTCTTCGCGACGCATTGCGCTCGCGGTCGCTCATCGAAAAGGTCGTGTGGTCGTGATAAGTATACGTGCTTCAAGCGAAAGCGCGGTGTAGAAACGTGGGGCTGGGATGCACTTCATGAGATAGCTGCAAAAGCACGCAAATGATAAAAATGCGTTCAGTCGTGTCTGCTACCACCCGGGCGCATGTGATTATCGGTAGCGAATATGTATAATCGGCGGCTGGGCACATGCACGAGGTTGGGCTTGCTGGGATGCCGTGTCGTTGCTGGGGTGATGAGGTGTTGACGGCCTGGCCTGACGTGGCCGAGCGCTGGGCGCCACAAGCCGCTTGGATGGCCATCTTGGAACAGCGACAAACTTGGACACAGGACACGGAGTCGGTCCTGTGTGAAGGCTATTGATATTTGACAAGGCGGGTATCACAGGCGACCAAGTTCTCAGCTCACACTTGGAGTACTTGGTAACGCAAAGCTGCGTGTGCTTTGGTGGCTGTGTCACAAACACAAACAGAGTGCACAAAACAACCTCTAGAGTACAATGGCATGTCACATACCAACCAGCATTTCCTTAAGAATACCATCGCGTCATCACAGATTACCCAATCTCGACGAGACCGTTGAGTCCCTGCGCCCTGCGATCAGCAACGGCAGGGAAGGAAGATGTGCCGCCAACTCGCTTCCGCGGATGACATCATAGCCCCTGTAATGATAGACAAGCCTGCCCGTCACGCTCCGTCACTTGGTGCAATTCGTAAAGATTATCTTGCATTGTTGAATCTGTGTGTGGTATCATAGCTGGGAATATACAAAAACAATGCGCCAATGGTCATAGGGCTCGTCCGGACCCTTTACCCTTTTCAGCCAACCGTGCCTGTGAAGGCCCACCCGTGCCTCTCTAATAAGCCGGTCTTGGGTGATCGTGACGATTTAATGAGAGTACCGCCTCTACAACGCCAATTCAGTTTGCCACCCAGGGATGACGGACGTGCGTTCTTGCAGCATGCGGCGCGGCAGTCCTGTCGGAAGTGGTGGTACATGCAATCCTCGAAATGCGAAGGGGTCATAGCAGTTTCGTAGGCAAGCCTATTCAAGAAGCCGAAACACTTTGTGAGGAACCAGTAGCCTCGGAAGATGCTGTCTCTTTCCCTTTGTCTGCTGCTTTCTTCTCGTCGTCGCTGTAGAGGCCGTGTTCGTAGATGTAGTCGACGACCTTGTCGGGGATATAGTAGCGGATGCTCTTACCCCGCTTGCGGAAGAGCCGGATCTTGGTGGACGAGACGTCGTTTTGGATGAGTTGCGGGATCACGCGGATGTTCTCCCTCCACTGCTGGAGCTGTACGAGCGCATCATCTGTAGCATGTTAGTGGTTGTAGAACGTTATGTAAGGAGAAACGTACCAATATCAGTACCGCTGCGCTCAAGGATAAAGGCACCGTAGTGGCCCAAGATCCTACTCAGATCCTCGCGAGCCCAAAGGCCGGGTGTGCTCATAGTCTGGATCAGGTCGGCGCCTGCGAGAAGCGCCACATGGATGCGTCGCTTCTCGCCGTTCTCGCTTGCTATCCCTCCCATAACCTCGTTAAGCTCGTGGTCAAAGTGATCGAGTACCTTGACGGTTGGAAGATACTCCTTGTGCAGCGGCTCCCACGGGTCAACACCGATCCAAGTCGAGCTGTCCTGCACGGCGATCCTCGTCATGTTGATCCTGTGTTGTGCGGAAGCCAGTCCGGCTTTCTTGTATGCGTCGCCGACAGGGCTGAAGAAGCCGCCTACAACTTCGTAGTCGGTCTCGAACTCGCAGTAGTCGGCCGCCTCTTCAAACATGCGCAAGTGTAGGTTGGTCGGCGGAGAGAAGGAGCCACATGATACGAGCACGAGGGGCTGCTTCTTAGGGTTTGACAGCGTCTTCTTCAATCTCTCCTTGGGAAATGTGTAGTTGGCGAGCGACATAGCCTCGGTGTTGGGAAGCCCGGCGTCGAGCAGGATGTCGCGGTTATCCGTCGAGGACATGGTAGCGACGGCGATTTTGCGTGGAGCGATGCGCGGGCGGATAGCGAGGGGTGACTTCGGAGGGGTGAGCGGGCGGCTATGTAGTGATGGACTGCGGAGGTGACGGCGGGGTGGGGTTGCGGTCGCAGCTGGGATGTGCGCGACAAAACTAAAAGGCCAAGTCAATTGCCGGCGGAAGGGGAGCATTTATGAGTGAAAGGCTTACGAATACCGCGATAAACGGGGTCACCGGGGACTACTAGGAGACTAGGCGGTAGTGAGAAGTGAGTCGATAGGAGCCTGGTTATGACGCGGGGGCAGCGAGGCGACACCCGACGAACTGTGTTTTAGGCAGTGGACGCGACAAAGCGGATAGTGAGACTGTGAAAGTGGACTGTGAGTGAGACGGATATAGGGAAGCAGATGCACAGGGTGAGCCGGCCGTGGAAGAGGGGGACATGTTGTACCACGCCCTTTTACACTTTCAAGGCTGCTTCTAGGCGGCCGTTTGGACGCTGGAACGCGGGCGGCGGGGCTTTCCAGGGTCACGATTTTGCCTGCCCTGCGACCGCACATCTCGCCGTGCATGGTGCCATAACTCCATAACTCCGGCGCGCCACTCGCTCTGCGCCGCAAAAATTGAAACGCCTTTTGCATCCGAAGATTCGCCAAATGGCAAGCGAAGTCTGCAACTGCGCAGAGAGAAGTGGGCAGCTCACGTGCGCGTGGGTGTGTCGGCATTTCCCCGACCCCACAGGTACCAACTGTGTTTTGCAATTAGGCGTGAGCCGTGGGATCCATATGCTGAACAATCCGCGTGCTTGGCTGTGAAGAGGAAGGGATTGCTTGTCTTGGTACTGAGTAGCCCTGGCCGTGACAGAAGGCGCTAAGGATGGCTAGAGATGGCCTGATTACTCGATGCGAAACCGTGGGAGCGACGTCGGAGGGCTGCGGCTAGCATAGCAGGAAGGAGCTAGATCTGCTCCCCATGAAGCTGGCCTGGATTGCTAGATATTAGTAGAGAGTCGAACAAGACGTTGTGTAGTTAGTCCTCGACACCCCAATTGAAGCCATGCCGCGATGCTCTCATCCCAGCCTAGTCGGGCTGAATGGAATACCTCAATGGTCAGATGAGCTCCCTCACCTTGACAGACTTTTCACCACAGTCATCGAATTTGGGAAGAGAGAGTGCCAACTCATCGCCTCGGTGACCTCACCTCACTATTCTGCGGTGCTTCTGGCAGGCGCGGGCCAGCAGGTCGGATGCGGCAACTGCGACTCGCTCTATCGATAACAACAGAGGCGCTAGGCAGGTCACGTAATTAGCTCCCTCTGGCATGCAGGTGGATATCGACGTCCAGTATTCGCCAGCGCCAGGACAGTATTACCATCTCTTTCTATTACCCATCGCACGGCCAGAGCAGCTCTCTCGTTTGCTCTGTTTGCTGAGATCCGCCACACTCGCCGCCGCTCCCGGTCCCCGTGTGTTTGCACCTACCGCACTCGCTTGAGCACACGCCTAATGGCGCGTCCTTGATGGCCTCCAGAGGACCTCGTGAAAGGTAAATACCTTCCCACCCGACCCTTGGCTGCTGCAGCACTCTGCACCCCGCGGTTCAACACCACACGCTGCTGCGGTCCTCAACCAAGTCTCACCTTGCTCTGCCCCCACAGAAGTGCTGCACCCACCGGGGCCACAGTCTGCGCGCATCTCGATTTCACAAGCCTGTAGTCAGAATCTCATGTCGTCCAGAGTCACTCGCTCGCAAAGGCGCCAATCCGCCAACACCAACGACACTTCGCCCCCCGCTGCTCCCCCGACCGCAACGCAACCGCCGCCCGCCCCAGCGTCCCGCAAGAGGAAGACGTCAGCGCGCGACCCCAGCCCCGACCCAGCAGACAACCCAGAGTCTACTCCCAAACGCCGCGCTACCAAGACCAAGAAGGCCAAAGGCAAAGCCGCCATGTCTTCGTCTGGGTCTGTGCCAATTGCCCCAGCCGGCGAGCAAGCGCTGACCGAAGACAGCCCACCATCAGATCCTATCGACGAGAAGTCAACGCCACAGCCCTCGAAGCGATCCAAGAGCGGCCGTAAGAGCAAGCCCTCGAACGCCGCGCCCGACGCCGATAGCCCCTCCACGTCCCGCCGAAGCTCGCGCAAATCGAACAAGGCCGAGGACGACACGACCATGGACGATGCTCCCGCAAGCAAGCCCGAAGAGGAAACGCGCCAGTCTGGCGAAGACCATACCAGCGATGACGAGAACGGCGATGATCACGGAGAGCGATACGATGAGGAAGACGACGACGATGACGACGATCCCTTCACCAGCGGCTTCCTGGGACGCAACTCACACAGCCTGTCTGCGCTAAGGCAGCTCACCGGCATGATGGCAGGTACCACACAGCGTCTGCGGGGCATTCTGGACCAGCTGCGATCGCCAGACATGTCTATACAGCTGATTGCGCTGCAAGAGCTGTCCGAAGTGCTCCTCATCTCCACAGAAGACAACCTCGCCGGTCACTTCTCCCCCGATGCCTACGTCAAGGAGTTAGTCAAGCTCATGCAGCCGAACGAGTTCACAATGGAAGAGAACCCGGAGCTTATGTTGCTCGCCTGCCGATGCTTGGCCAACCTGATGGAAGCCCTGCCTCAAGCCACCGCCAACGTCGTGTACGGTGGAGCTGTGCCCGTCCTCTGCTCCAAGCTGCTCGAGATCAACTTCATCGATCTGGCCGAACAATGTCTGAGCACGCTGGAAAAGATTTCGGTTGAGTTTCCGGGAGTTATTGTACGGGAAGGCGGTCTTACAGCGTGCTTGACCTTCCTCGATTTCTTCGCCACAAGCACACAGCGGGTAGCCGTCACAACCGCAGCCAACTGCTGTCGGAACATCCCAGAGGATTCCTTCCCCGTCGTGCGCGATGTTATGCCTATTCTTGAGAATATCCTGAACAACAACGATCAAAAGGTTGTAGAGCAGGGTTGCATCTGTGTCTCTAGGATCGTCCAGAGCTTCCGGCAACAGGAGAGCAAACTGGAGGA